AGCAGGAATAATGTTAATGAGAGATGTGACCATCCTGAACTCAGAAGATGCGCTGAGTGAGAAAACAGTTTCAAAGGTCCAGGAATTCCAATATGACAAGGAGCTCTTCAGATACTGCACTCTCCCCCAGGTTAAAGACTATCTTTGTTTCTAAACTGTTTAATGAGTATACCAGACTTTAATTCTTAGAGTTAATTAAACTTTAATTCTTGATTCTAAATGTTAAGTTCTTCAAATTAGTATGAACCAAAGACATTGCTAAGGATTTCCAAATTCCTATGAGGCACAGAATAGCTTCCTCCCCAAAACAAAGAATTATTCTACCTAAAATGTCAATCACACCAAGATTGAGAAACCCTGCTATAGAATTTGCTCCTCAACTATTGCTTAAAAACAGGAATTCTGTGTTAGAGCCCTTCTAAGACTCGATACAGGCAAATCAACAGGGATAAGATTGCTAGAGTTACTATTTGTAAATCTTTTCTCTTTGGGTTTAACAAATCTGGTCATTAGCAGTATGAGTTTGTTTTTAAATTTAAAGGAGTTTTTGGTTTGTTTTGTTTTTGTTTTTTATTTTTTAGAAATATCATTCTTTGGGATCAGCCGTTGGTGTCATGGTTAGGTCACTGGACTCCCACATAGTCAACTGTGGTTTGAATCCCAGACCCAGTGGTTGAAACCATATGCTACATAAATGTATGTGTGTGCATGCCCAAAATTCCATCATGGCCATCCCTTCTGGGGGGGGGGGTGATTTCTCACTTTCTCTCTGTCTCTGTCTCTCTGGTGAGCACACACACCTTATAGCAAAAAATCTCTCTCTAAAAAGAAAGAAAGAAAGAAAGAAAGAAATATCATTCTTTAAGAGTGTGTCATATTTATGAAAAAAAATCCACGCAGTATATAAGGGTATAAAATGAAAAGTAAAGGTTTCCCCTATCCCCGGCCCACTCACTGTTAAGTTTTTTCTATTTTCAGCTGGAATTTTTTTATGTATACCAAGTATATTTATACCCTCCCACTTTTTTTTAATCCCTAGAAGATACATAAGCTTTCCAGAGAGAGACAGGAAAAGGGAGAAAGCACCCCCGACCCAATGGGACATGGTCGTACCACACTCCTTTCATGTCAGGATTTGGGGCATGCACACACACCTGCCCAGTGTGTTTTTCAAGCCAGCAGAGCCAGGATTCAAACATGGCCCTGTGGAATTTGACTCCCTAAACCACCAGGCTATGAGGCTGACCTTTTTTTCTTTCTTTCTTTCTTTTTTTTCTTTTTTTGGAGAGGTTTTTGCTATAGGGTGCATGTACTTTCCAGAGAGACAGAGAGAGACAGAGAGACAGAAAGTGAGAAATCACCCCCCAGGGAGGATGGCCATGCCACAGTCCCTTCTCCTCCATTTTCCTCTCGGGATCTTGGGCATGCACACACACGCGCCTGGCATGAGTTTAAGCCACTGGATCCAGGATTTGAACCGTGGTCGACTACATGGGAGTCTAGCGACATAGCCATTATGCCAAGTGCTGGTCCTGATGGCCCTCTTTTCTTTTCAAGGTTATTTTATGTCTTTCTTTCATGAAGGAGAGACAGAAACAGGCAACCTCAACAGAGTCTCTCTATACTGCAATCCTCTTCCCTCCCCTATCTCAGCCTCCAAGCTAGTCATGATACAGGCACTCCCAGCACATCCATGTCACCCTGGGACCCAAGCCTTCCATGTGGCCCCAGTATCATGCAGTAGCATCCTCCCAATCCATGGGCGAGACCTGCTTTTCTTGTCCATACTCTCCTGTCCTTCTGCCTAGTTTACAGACCTTGGTAAAGAGTTGCTAAGGCAACTCTGGTGAGTGACTGCCCTGCTGTCAAGTGTCTGAGCCCCAGTTCTGCTTTCTTCATTGCTACATATCAACTGCAAACAGTAGTGGGCCTTCCCTTGGGCTCTCCTTATGTGGTGTCTCCAAGAAGGAAGTAGAAACTGCTACCTCCCTAGAAAACCATCTGTGGCCTAGGGACAAAAGAGCTACTCCTATCCTTCCTGGTTGCTATCTCACAGAATCTCTTTCTTATAGGAAAAAAAGAAAAAGGAAAAAAAATTACATTCCCAATTGCACCTAAAAAGCCTACTTAATTCAGCATGTTGTAAATTTAGAATGATGTTCAATTGATGAATTTTTCATGTTTTGTTTGCAGTGTTGTGAAATATCATGGGTTTGTAAAACTATTGTGATCTTGGTTCTTGTATGGATAGTTGTTATTTGTATCACTTGCCTATTTTTATGATTTCCTATGAGTATTTTTTTTTCCTTTTTCTTAGATTCTAAAATATGTGGAGTGCTTCACTGGTCCCAACATTATGGCCATGCATACAATGCTGATAAACAAACCTCCAGACACTGGTAAAGTTCCCTTATTTGTCATGGAGAGGCAAGAAAAAAATGGTTTAATTCAAATATATAAAATAAATTTTGTAACCGTTGCTATGCATATAATTGTCCATCTTTGAGTGAGGTTTCATTACTTAAGTCTTAAAATAGCTCACATGATAACACTGAAGTGTTGTAGTGATTTCAGATGTTAACTGTGGGGTTATTGCTGAATTTTCAGAAGCCAGTTCCCCAAAAATGCAGCTCAACAAACCTGCCATAGACTCCTGCTGTTATCAGCCATTCTTAGCTGCGATAGTGTGGGTCCTGCATTCCTGATCTGAAGATATTTCTATACTTTCATTATTACTAAAATTAAAAGTATTATTATAAATCATACACTGTAGTTGTTCTTTTTTTAAATTAAAATTTATTTATTTTTATTATTTTTTAAAATTTGACCAGAGAGAGACAGAGAGAGAAAAAGAAAGGGAAAGTGAGAAAGGAAGCCCCCAGGTGTGGAACTCGAACCACAGTTGGTCATGTAGGAGTCCAGCACCTTAACTATCATGCCATCTGTTGGCCTCTATAGTTGTTCTTAAAATGTATGTTCCTGCTAAAATGTAGATTCTAAGACCTCACCTTGAAAGAGTCTGACTCAGAAATAGAACGCAGGTTTCAGCATTTAATAACCATCCTCAGAGATTCTAATGCAGATGGCTCTTGGACCACACTGAGAAATCCTTATCTACCATTAGGAGAAATCAGCCAGGAGAGAATCCTTTATCCTCTTATACTTTTTCTTCTCCTGATGGCTACGGGAAGTTTATGTGATAGGACTGTAGCATGGCTTTACCAAATCCCTTATAGAGAAACAAGACATTGGGACCAGCAGTTAGCGTAATGCCTATGTCGCTGAATTCTCATGTAGTCGACTGCGGTTCGAGTCCCAGACCTGGTGACTTAAACTCATGCCGGGCATGTGTATGTGCGTGCCCAAGATCCTGAGAGGAGAATGGAGGAGAAGAGAATCTGGCATGGTCATTCCTCCTGGGGGGTGATTTCTCACTTTCTGTCTCTCTGTCTCTCTCTGTCTTTCTGGCGAGCGCATGCACCCTGTAGAAAAACTTCTCAAAAAAAAAAAAGACATCTTGTCAAAGAAGCAAATTGAGAGATCAAAACTAGAGAACATGGCAATGAGGTCATGATGACTCTGACTGGACATTGATTGTACCCAGAATACCTATAGTTCGTGAGGAAAAACCTCTTAAGAGAACTTGGGATCTTCAAACTTGACTCTACCACTCTTGTCAATTTTTTGGAATGCATATTGCATGATAGATTCAGTGCCTATCACAGAGTTACAAAGGCGTCAAATCCAGAGACAAATGACATACTCACGCCTCGCTAGAAAAAAGTGCTCAGCTACTAGTAACCCAGGAGAAAGGATAGGATTTGGAGCCACTATACTGATTTTGCATTCCAGTTTGGTGCTTCTCTCTTTGAGGCTGGTTCTCTATAGTGTTCTTTCACTTGCTTGATTTTTGTAAGGATAGGTCATTGTTCTGGATTTTCAGGCAAAGGATAAGAATTGTGAGGTCCAGCATCTTTTAACAATAAGTTCCATTTCAGGCAAGAAGACATCCCGTCATCCTATGCACCAGGACCTGCACTATTTTCCCTTCAGGCCCCCCAATCGAATGGTTTGTGCCTGGACTGCGATGGAGCACATTGACAGGAACAATGGTTGTCTGGTTGTGTTGCCAGGCACTCACAAAGGTTCTCTGAAGCCACACGATTACCCACCGTGGGATGTAAGTCTACCTAGGCTGAGGCTTGCTCAGGACCTTTTATTGTTTGTACTTTATATACTATACATAAAACACTTACTAATGAAATGGAATTTCCTTTTGTAGTGAAACACTGCCCCAAAATTTGCAATTAGGATCAGGGAAAGTTAGAGGTGTCAGATAAAATGCTCATCCTGTTGTTCTTTCAACATGTGTTTGAAGCCAGCCAATGTGGGGAACTTGGGTAAGTGCTGCAGAAGATCTGAGACTAGAAAACCTAATCTCAGGGGGGAGACATAAACACTGCAACCTCAGTGTGATGACAAGTGCCAAGGAAATCTTACTCACTACTGATGTTTCTCAGAGCAACGAAGGGGGAGAGTTTGTACCCAGTAACTGCAGAGACCAGCAGAGGATCTGGGAAGAGCTGGCATTGGAGATGAGCTTTGAAGAGCAAGGTAGAATGTCTTTTACACAGAAGGGTTGAGGGCAAACGTGGTTTTACTAAGGAGGTGGAAGGACCAAGAGAGCTCCCAGTCTAAACAGGTTCGAGTCTGGGGTGCATTGTGGGGAGCAGCAGTGGTGAGCCTGGAAAGGTACATTAGGGTCGGAGCAGAAAGGACTTTGTTATTCTAATAAATCTGCAGCTTATTTTGAGAGAAAAAGGGATTTTTTGGAAGCTGGAAGAGGTTTTTAATAAAAAAAAGCTTTATTGAAGTATAATTGTCACATAATAAATTGTACATAATAATAAATTACATAATAAATTGATAATTTTTGATACACACACACACACACACACACACAGCTGTAAAACCATCATAACAAGCAAGATAATCTTCCTCCCTCTTCCTGCCCAGGCAATTACCAATTTGGCTTTCTTTCTTTTTTTAAAAAATTATTTTACTGAACCATCTTTTTTTTTTACATTTTTATTTCATTTTATTTCTATTTCTTTCATATATTCAATCATGTTACTTAGCTTACAAAGTGAATATTCCAGCATGTGTACATTTATCACCAGTCCAGTTCACCATTCTAGAAAGTTATCTTTAATAAACAATAATCCATTTCTTTGACCCATAATTGCCTTGCCTCTCCATTTTTCTCCTTAATGTCCTTCCTCAGACTCTATTCCTTCACCCACCATCTTCCCACACTCTATCTGGTATTCATAACCATTTACGTAGTTTATATAACCTTTAGTCATTCAGTTTCAGCCATAGAGTGCGTTTAAGTGGATAAATACAGTGTCTCTCCTTCATCGCCTGCCTGGTTTGTTTCACTCAGCAGTGAATCTTCCACATTCATCCACGTTCTGTCAAAAGCCAGGGTCTTGTTGTTTTTTAAGGCTGGTTAGTATTCCGTAGAGTACATGTGCCACACTTTTTCAATTCATTCATCTGTTTGTGGGCATTTGGGTTGGACCCATGTCTTAGCAATTGTGAATAATGCCGCAATTAACATGGATGTGCAAGCACTTTTCCGACTAAGAAATCTTCTGTCCTTTGGGTAGATACCAAGAAGTGGGATTGCTGGATCTCTGATAATTCTATTTGTAGGTCTTTGAAGAATCTCCAAGTTGTTATCCAGCATGGCTGGACCAATTTACATTCCTACCAGCAGTGCAGGAGAGGTCACCATACCAATGCCAGCACTTATCTTTTTTTTTTTTTAATCTTAGTCATTCTTACTGGGGTTAGGTGGTATCTCAGTGTAGTTTTGATCTGCATCTCCCTTAAAATGAGGAATAATGAGCATTTTTTTCATATGTCTTTTGGCTATTCATATGTCTTCCTTAGTGAGTGGTTTTTTTTGTTTTGTTTTGTTTTGTTTTTCAACTCATTCTCCCATCTTTTAATAGGGTTGGTGATCTTTTTTCAGGACAGCTGCTTGAGTTCCTTGTGTATTCTGGTTATATTATCTGATGCATAGTTTACAAAAATATTTTCCAATTTGGAGAGCTGTCGATTCACACTAATTACTGTGTCTTTAGCCATGAAGAAACTTCTTAATCTGATGTAATCCCACTTGTCTATTTTTTGGATTATTGACTGTACTTTGGGGATCTTATTTAAGAAGTCTTTGCCTACCCCAATGTCTCTCTAGTATTTTCCAGCATCAGTTTTATAGTTTGAGGTCTTAGGTTTAGATCTTTGATCCACTTCAAGTTGATTTTTGTCAAAAGCGAGAGGTAGGGGTTCATATTCATCTTCAAGTGGATATCCAGTTTTTACAGCACCATTTGCTAAAGAGGTTTTCCTTTCTGCAATGGATTGAGTGGTACTCTTTGTCAAAAATCAGTTGGCTGTATGTCTGGGAGTTTATTTCTGGGGACTCTGTTCTGTTCCATTGGTCCACCTTCTACTTCTGTGCCAATACCATGCTGTTTTGATGACCACAGCTTTGTAGTATATTTTTGGATCAGGGAATGAGATGCCACCCACTCCACTCTTCTTGTGCAGGATTGCTTTGGCAATACATGGTTTTCTATGATTCCAGACAAATTGTATGATTGTCTTTTTTAGATCTGTAAAGAATGTCTCTGGCACTTTGATTGGGATTGCATTAAATATGTTGATTAATGTAGGTGGAATTGCCATTTTGATTATATTAATTCTTCCAATCCAGGAACATGAGATGTCCTTCCACTTTTTTTATGTCATTTTCAATTTCTTTTTTTAGCTTCTCGTAATTTTCCTTGTGGAGGTCTTTAACTCCTTTGATTAGGTTTATTCCTAGGTATCTTATACTTTTTGTGGCTATGGTAAAGGGAATGACTTTTTTCAGTTCTATCTCAGTCTGCCTGCTGTTTGTATATAGAAATGCTATAGATTTCTGTATGTTGATTTTGTATCCTGCACCTTTACTATATTCATATATTACTTCCAGGAATTTTTTCATGGATACCGTCAGGTCTTCTATGTATACAATCATTTCATCTGCAAATAGAGATAGTTTTACCTTTTCTTTTCCTATTTCAATGTCTTTTATTTTATTCTCTTTCCTGATTGCATTGGCGAGGATTTCCAGTACTATATTGAAAAGGAGTGGAGAAAGTGGGCATCCTTGTCTTGTGCCAGTTTTTAATGGAACAGCTTTCAGCTTTTCTCTGTTCAGTATGATGTTAGCTATGTTTTTTTTTTAAAATAGCTTTTATTGTGTTTCTGAAGTGACCCTTCTATGCTGATTTTGCTGAGAGTCTTGATCATGAAGGGATGTTGTATCCTATCAAATGCTTTTTCTGCATCAATTGATATGACTGTATGGTTTTTATCTTTCTTTCTGTTAATATGGTGTATTATACTTATGGTTTTTGTGTATGTTGGACCAACCTTTCATTCTTGGAATAAAGCCTACCTGGTCATGATGTATAATCTTTTTTTATGTTTTTGGATACTATTTGCAAGTATCTTGTTGAGAATCTTTGCATCTATATTCATCAGAGATATTGGTCTATAGTTTTATTTCCTTGTCCTGTCCTTATCTATTTTGTGGATAAGGGTGATGGAGGCTTCATAGAATGAATTTGGGAGAAATTCACCCTTTTGTATTGTTAGAAATAACTTGAGCACAATGGGGGGTTAACTTTTCTTTAAAAGTTTTGTAGAATTCAGAGGTGAAGCCATGAGGACCAGGGCTTTTCTGTGTTGGGAGGTTATTTATTACTAATTCAATCTCCTGGCTTGTTATGGACCTTTCAGACTTTCTGCATCCTCCTGGTTCAATCTTGGTGGATTATATGTGTCCAGGAATTTGTCCATCTCATCCAGATTTTCCTGTTTGTTAGCATACAGTTGTTCATAGTGTCCTCTAATTATGGTTTGTATTTATACTATGTCTGTTGTTATATTGTCAGCTTCACTGCAAATTTGATTACCTGATTCCTTTCTCTCTTCTTCATAATAAGTCTCACTAGTGGTGTATTGATTTTTGTTTATATTTTCAAAGAACCAGCTTTTACTTTAATTTATTTTCTGTATAGTTCATTTATTTTCTATTTCATTTATTTCTGCTTGGATTTTTATTATTTATTTTCTCCTGAAGTTTTGTGGATTTTTTGCTGTTGCTTTTTCAATTCTCTGAGGTATGATGTTAGGTGATCCATTTGCCTTCTTTTCATCTTCTTATGTGCACTAGTTGCTATGAACTTGCCTCTTATGACTGCTTTTGCAGTATCCCAAAGATTAAGGAAACTCATGTCCTCATTGTCATTGGCCTCCATGAATCTTTTTATTTCAACCTTAAATTCCTCAGTAGTAGTGAAGTCATTCAGGAGTAGGCAATTTAGTTCCCATGTATTTGTGTATTTTTGAGGATTTCTCTTGAAATTAAAATCAAGTTTGATTCCATCATGGTCAGAGAAGTTGCTGGATATAGTTTCTATGCCTTTGAATCTGTAGAGGCTTGCTTTGTGCCCTATCTTGTGGTCAATCTTCGAAAAGGTTCCATGGGGGGTGGTGAGAAAAACGTATATCTCATGGTTTTTGGGTGGAAAGTTCTATACATGTCTGTTAAGTCCATTTGATTTATTGTATCATTTACATCCTTTATCTCTTTACTTATTTTTAGCCTTGATGATCTTTCCAGAGAAGATAGTGGGGTGTTGAGGTCTCTAACAATTAGTGTGTTACAGTCTATCTCTCCTTTTAGGTCTAACAGTATTTTCTTCACATATTTGGGTGCTCCTGTGTTAGGTACATAGATAATTATTAGTGTTATATCTTCTTGATGAATTAACCCTTTTACTATAATATAGTGTTCTTTGTCTCTTCGAACAGTTTTTGTTTTAAAAGCCTATTTTGTCAGAAATTAGTATCACTATTCCAGGTTTTCTTTTATTCTCATTTGCACAGAATACCTTTTTCTAGTCCTCCACTTTTAGTCTATGTGTGTCTTTATCCATGAGATGCATTTCTTGTAGGCAACAGATAGAGGGTTTCTGTTATTTTTACCCACTCAGCCAGTCTGTTTCTCTTGATGGGAGAATTTAATCCATTAACATTTAGTGTTATTATCGATATTTCCAGACTTGCATCTACATTTAAGTTGGCTATTGTCTTGGTTGTCTTTTATTCCTTATTTCTGGCATTTCATTCTTAGTTTTCCTGGAACAGGACTCTCTTCAGAGTTTCTTGAAGAGCTGGTCTGGTGTTGGCAAATTCTTTCAGGTTTTATTTGTCTGAGAAGATTTTAATCTTTTTTCCCCATATGAAGGATAATCATGCTGGATATAATAATCTTGGTTGAAATTGTTTCTCTCTTAACACTTTCAATATGTCTTCCCATTGTTTCCTTGCTTGCATTGTTTTTGTTGAAAGGTCCGGAGGGACCAGCAGTTGGCGTAATGACTGTGTCACTGGACTCCCATGTAGTTGACTGTGGTTCAAGTCTCAGATCCAATGGTTTAAACTCACGTTGCATGCGTGTGTGTGCATGGTCAAGATCCCGAGAGGAGAATGGAGGAGAAGGGATTGTGGCATGGCCATCCCCCCTGAGGGGTGATTCCTTGCTTTCTGTCACTCTGTTTCTCTCTGTCTTTGTGTCAAGCACCTGTGCCCATCTCAAAAAAAAAAAAAAAAAAAAAGAATGGTCCAGAGTTGGCCTGATGGGATGACCTTTGTAAGTCACTTGTCATTTCTCTCTTGCCAATTTTAGTATATTGTCTTTATCTGTGGGCTTGGCCAGTCTGGCTAAGATGTGCCTTGAGGAAGATCTTCTTGGTTTGATTCTATTTGGTGTCCTTTTTATTTCTCAGGTCTGGATGTGTGAGTGCTTCTCTAGACTTGGGAAGTTTTCTTCCAGGATATCATGGAATAAATTTTTCATGCCCTTATTAGTTTCTTCACCTTCTGGGATACCAATTATTTGGATGTTTGGATGTTTAATGGAGTCTTGTATTTCTTGTACACTATCCTCATTTTTTGTTATTTTATCTATCTTGATGTCTTTTTCTAGGTCAGAGGTTTTATCTTCTACATTGGAGATTTGATCTTCAGCATGGTCTAATCGACTTTTAATACTTTCAAGAGAGTTTTTGATTTCTTGTATTACAGACTTCATCTCTAATAATTCCATTTGGTTCTTTCTTAGAGGTCCATTTCTTCTTTTATATCATGGAAGGACATCCTAATCTCCTGTAGCTCATTGTCTCTTTTCTGGTCCAACTCATAGAATTTTGTCACCATGAATGTTCTAAATTCTTTCTCTGACTTTTTGGTAACATCTTCTGTTTTTTCCGAGATGGAGGGAAGTTATTGTGTTCTTTTGATGGAGACATATTTCCTGGTTTATTCAGACCTGAGGCTTTTCTTCTACTTCTAGCTATTGGGAAATGTATTCACTTTTGGATACCTTTTTGGAGAACGTATCTTTGACTGGGAACAAATGTGCTTTCCTTTTGCTGTGAACTGATGTATGCTGAAGTCTCTTTTCTGCTGTGTTTTGCAGTGTGGTCTGCACAGGAGGAGTCTTCTATTCAGGAGTCTGAAGAGCAGTCTCTCCTTTTTCCCAGGTGGTTAAGTAAAAAGGAGGATCCTAGGGAGCCTCACAGTACCAGGGTATTTGAAAACTGTGATTCTAGACCTGTCTAGCTCCTCTTGGTGCATGGAGTATAAGCAGGAGATGACAATATAAGATGAAAGAGAAAAGAGTATGAAAGAGAATAAAGAAAATGTCTCAGAGGGCTGGAGATGGAAGTGGGCTCTTCCAGAGAGCTGGGGGCAGTTCTGTGGGGTAAAGAGAAGTGAGAAATTAACAAAATAAAGGAGAAGAGAAGGAAAAAAAAAAGCCTATCTTGCTAACAGAGAAAGGGTCTCTGGGGTTGGGAAGCTGGAGTTGGAGCTGGGGCTGGGGACCCTACCTCAGTGTCCCTTAGGCCAGGATCTGGAGATGGAAGTGGGCTGTGTTAAAGAGCTGGGGGCAGTCCTTGCTAACAGAGAGAGGGTCTCTGGGGTTGGGGAACTGGAGCTGGAGCTGTGGGGCCCTGCCTCTGTGTCCCTTAGGCCAGGGGGCTGGAGTTGGAAGTGGGGTCTGCTGGAGAGCTAGTGAACTTTCTTTCTTTATTTATTTTAATTTGACCAGAGAGGGACAGAATGAGAGAGAAAGAGAAAGTGAGAAAGCAAGCTGCCAAGTTCAGGACTCGAACCATGGTCGGGCATGTGGGAATCCAACACCCTTAACCACACCACCAGCCAGCCCCTTTTTCCTTTTTTTTAAAATTTGCCAGAAAGCACATATGCTCGCCAGAGAGAGAGAGAGGAAGAAGGAAAAATTTTCTCCCAGCAGGCTCTGGTCACACCATAATCTCTTCTCCATCTCTCCATTCTGTTGGGATTTGGGACATATACAGACACACACACACACACTTAGAATATTTTTTAGGTTGTAAGATCTGGGACTTGAACCACAATTAGCCATGTCATATCTGAGTCCCTGAATCACCAGGCTGTGGGCCAACTACCCTGAGTTACTTTCTGCTACTCTAGATTAGCTTGTGTTCTCTAAAATGTTATATAACATAATGCTATAATATTTCATTATTTTGGTCTGGCCTTTTTCACCCAGCATGTTTGTTATGAGACATATTGGGGCTGTGGTGTATCAGTAGTTTGTTCATTGCCATTGCTGAGTAGTGTTCCTTTGGGTGTCTGGATCATGGTTTGTTTATCCATTCTGCTGTTTATACTGTGGGACTTTGAAATTCTTTTAGTCTATGCATGATGCAGTAGGCCAGTTTGTTCATAACAATAATCTAATAGTCTAGCATAGATGCATTGGAAGCAGAGTTCAGTGGCAGAGAAATCAGAGAAGAGACCATGAGCAGTTTAGGTCTAAAAGGAAAGATGGTGAAATCCCATGATGACTGTCAAAGTGGAAGGGAATGCCTGTTTAGTTTTTAAAGATGGAACTCCACCCTTTGCTTGGTTTTAAATATGTGTGGAATTAGGACACAGGAGTAGTGGTGGTCAGACATGGAAATGGTGGGGAGACAAAAATATACACGTGAAATAAACTCAGTATTTTAATAAAGTGAAAAATATTAAAGAAACAAAAAGTGGAAGGGAAACCTGTTAAAGCAGTAAGACTGAGTTGTGGTTCTGTAGATGTGAAAATCCTAGCTTATAGGACGTTTTTTTTTCAGAACTCCTGCTGCACTAATGGTTAGTGTTATGTGAACCATGGTCGACTGTGTGGGAGTCCAGCAATGTAACCATTCCACCATCTGCTGGTCCCTAGCCTTTTTTTTTTTTTTTTTTTTAAGTCACATATTGTCAGGGCTGGTCTGATCAGCTTAACTTGGGTCACATACCTACTGTGGCCAGGAAAGGACACTAAATCGAAATCTCAACACTATCTAGTAGAGAAGTGGTCATTCCAAAAGGAATTCGGGACTCTCTAAGGAAGAAGAATGGCATGCTTCCCTATCCTGATTCATAAGCTTTCATTACTTTCCACTTTAGTATCTTTATAAAGATATAACTCATGACCTATAGCAATAACTAACTTTGAGAATAATTTTAAGCCAATACTGTTTTTATTTGTTTTGTTTTTCTAGAGGGTGCGAGGGCTTGCCAGAGAGAGACAGAGAGAGGGAGAGGAAAAAGCACCCCCCACAGGGATGGTCATGCCGTGATCCAGTCTCCTTCTCTCTCTCCTTTAGGGTTTTGGGCATGCACACGCATGCGTCTGGTGTGTTTCTCAAGCTACCAGGTCTAGGACTAGAACTGTGCTATGTTGCTTCAACCACCAAGCTACAGAACCAGCCTGCAGATACTATTTTACTGTACTGTTCTTTCTTTTCTCTAGATGTGACATAAGTGATCTTGAGTTAAAAAAAACTGAACATTTTCTCCTCCCTATTTTGGGAGAATAGTTAGCCTCTGAAATACATCCCTGAGTAATAGGAAGAGGAATGGTTTGTATAAGTTCTAGGTGAAGAGAATATCATGCTGGGAAAGACTGATTATGATGTAGGCTGGAAATGTCAAAGCAAAGGTATCATCTACATTAACCACAAAAGGCAAAATTCCAAAATTTCAGTGCTTTATTTTATTTTATTTATTTTTTTAAAGATGTTTATAGCAATGTGACTTAAAAAAAAAAAAAAGGCTAGGGACCAGCAGATGGTGGAATGGTTACATTGCTGGACTCCCACATAGTCGACCATGGTTCAAATCCCGGATCCAGCAGCTTAAAACTCACGCTGGGTGTGTGTGTGTGTGTGTGCATTCCCAAGATCCCGACAGGAGACTGGAAGAGAAGGGATTGCGGCATGGCCATGCTCCCTGGGTGGTGATCTCTCACTTTCTGTCTCTCTGTCTCTCCAGTGAGTGCACATGCCCTATAGGAAAAACATCTCTTAAAAAAAGAAGTTTGGCTAGAGGGCACATGCACTTGCTGGAACGAAGGAGAGAAAGACAGAAAGAGAAAGTGAGGAGGCATCCTCCTCCTAGAGGATGGTAACAGAACACTAAAATCCCTTCTCCACTTCCTTTTCTGGGATTTTGGGTACACACGCACACATGACCAGTATGTTTTTCAAGCTGCCAATTTGGGACTTGAACCATGTAGTTGGCCATGTCAAATCTAGCTGCCTTATACCACACCACAGCCTGGCTGAATGAGACTTTAAAACCAGACACCTTATATATATATTATTTTTTAATCAAGAATATAATTTAGGTAGCTCTTTCTTTCTCCTGGAAGAACTTAAAGAACCCCTGCTTTCACCAGTAACTCACTAACAAAGTGTTTAATAGTGCTTCCTCAAAGACACACTTGGCTTCTCTTCTTTGTTCTAGGGAGGAGTTAATATAATGTACTATGGAATCAAGGACTTTGAAAAAAACTGTCCTCGAGTGCACTTGGTAATGGAAAAGGGAGACACTGTTTTCTTTCATCCTTTACTCATCCATGGATCTGGTCGAAACAGAACTGAAGGATTCCGGAAGGTATGTATTCACATTGCTGCAGTGTCCAAAGATGAATGTACTAGAAACAAAAATTTTAGGATATGTTAAAATTTAAAATATTTGTGACTTAGCTGATAGCCAAGTTTTTTTCACCCCTTAACCTCAGTGTTTTCAATTTAATCATTTCATTGTCTACATTTTAAAATGGACAGAATTTCTCCTAAACTTTCTGATTTCTTACTTTTAAACTCAGCAGATGTAACCATATGGCTGGCTCATATTTCAATCAAGAAATGTTGTTGTTAATTCTTAATATTGAGGCTCTTTGGGGCTTCATGGAGCTTTCTAGTTCATTACATGGTTCCTGCCCATCCTTACAGTCTCCCCTGGGTCAGGGATTAGGTGCCAAAGTTAAACTTCCATTTATTCCTAATTCCCACCGCAGTCATCAGGGCCAGAATTAGGCTGAGGCAAAGTGAGGAACTCTTCTCAGGGTTGAGATTTAAGGAGATACCAAGAAAACTCAGAAGTCAAATAATATTTTAATTAAATATTTATGAAATTCAAAATCAATACAGAAAATCCACACTGTGTGCGATGCCAGATTTTTTTTTTTCCAATTTCCTAAAGGGTGCAAGCACTTACCAGAGACTGAGAGAGGAAAAGTGAGAAAGCACCCTGGCCACACAGCAATCCCCTTTCTTCCATTTCTCTTTTGGGGATTTTGGACATGCACACACGTGCCTGGTGTTTTTCTCAAGCCTTTGAGTCTGGGAGTTGAACTGCACACTTGGCCATGTAGAATACAGACACTCCAACCACTAAGTCATTAGCCTGCCAACTATTTAAATAAAAGTCAAATTTGACCCCCCACTAGCATGACTCTTGGAGCCACATGTGAGTAGTAGGTGCAATTTTCCAGTATTTTTTCAATGACTTTAATGCTCTAGAAAAATATTAACCATTATTACATCAAAACATGGTTATAGGATTTGCTCATTTCTCCTTTTGCCTTGAGCTCTGATAGGGCTTTGTAGGGGGCACTGGAGTTTACATGAGAAATGAAGCTTGCGGGACCAGCAGTTAGCGTAATGGCTATGTCGCTGGACTCCCACGTAGTCGACCACGGTTCGTGTCTCGGACCTGGTGGCTTAAATCCCATGCCGAGCACATGTGCATGCGTGCCCAAGATCCCGAGAGGAGAATGGAGGAGAAGGGATTGTGGCGTGGCCATCCCCCCTGGGGGGGGGATTTCTCGCTTTCTGTCTCTCTGTCTCTCTCTGTCTGTCTGGCGAGCGCACATGCCCTATAGCAAAAACCTCTTAAAAAAAAAAAAAAGAAAAAAGAAATGAAGCTTGTGACTCCATTCTCTAGAAATTTGATTTCTGGACAATATAGAAATTCCTTCTGACAGGTGAGATCACCTTAAGATAATTGTGACAAGATGAGTTTCAACCAAGGCCTTGCAGTCTAGTTCTGTTTATAACTTTTTCTAGAAAGGGAGAACCAAGGGACCAGCAGTTAGCATAATGACTATGTCACTGGACTCCCACGTAGTCGACCATGGTTCCAATCCCAGACCCGGTGGCTTAAACTCACACTGGGCACGTGTGCGTGCATGCCCAAGATCCCGAGAGGAGAATGGAGGAGAAGGGATTGCAGCGTGACCATCCCCCCTGGGGGGTGATTTCTCGCTTTCTATCTCTCTGCCTCTCTCTGTCTGTCTGGCGAGCGCACGCGCCCTATAGCAAAAACCTCTCCAAAAAAAAAAGAAAGGGAGAACCAAGTAACTTCATTCAACCTTATCCTCAGAAGAAAGCAAATTAGATAATATCTGTTGATGATATTGGCCCTAATATGAACCTTTGATTTGAGAGGAGCTGTGTGTATTATTTTGCTTCTTAAGGTATTTTCAATTTTTTTTTCATAATCTGTTGATGTCGAAACAACAACCCACTCCAAATTTAACTAGGAAACTAACTTCTGTGACCAAGACACTTCCCTGATTAATACACATCACTTTTCAATTACTTGGTTTTTTTTTTTTTTTTTTTGGAGAGGTTTTCACTATAGGGTGCATGCGCTCGCCAGACAGACAGAGACAGAGAGACAGAAAGCGAGAAATCACCCCCCAGGAGGGATGGTCACGCCACAATCCCTTCTCCTCCATTCTCCTCTCAGGATCTTGGGCACACACGCACACGCGCCTGGCATGAGTTTTAAGCCACCGGATCCAGGACGTGAACCGCGGTCGACTACGTCAATGACTTGCTTTTAATTAGTGTATGGTTGATGCTGCTGATCATCTATGGACAATTTATCACTTAAGGCAAATAAATAAACATACCTTGTTGAATAGGCACAGTTTAGCCTCGAAACCAAGAAGCTGATCTTTTTATATTTCTTTTTAGGACTTTGAGTTGTCCATTGATCAGGAAAATCAAATGCCAAAATAACTAAAGGCCTCTCACTCAGAGGATTACTCTCCCTGTTCCATATGTACTTTTTAAAAATAAATACCATGAGTGGTTGAAATCTTTTGTAATTTTGCCATTAGTCTTTAGCCAGGAAATTTTAAAAAAAGAGACTGAGCTTCAAAAATAGATTTAAGGTAAACAAGATTATTATGATAATAAATAAAAAATAAAATTTAAAAAGAAAGAGTGAAGTAAGCCAGGCTATGTAAGAAAGATATTGTATGTATCCACTTAATATATACCGACTATCTGCACTCTATGGTAGAGAGCAAAATATTGGAGGACATAAAAGCAGTGAAAATACTTAAGGTAAATAAGACAGTGTGGAATGGGGGAGGTGAAGAGAAGAGGATAGAGAAAGATAGCAAGTGAACAATAGAGAGGCAGGACGTCAGTGGGACACAGATATGGCTTATCACCTGTTGATGATGACATGAATAGTATTCTCAACTGGATTGGTCTGAGAAGTATTGCATGATGGGTAAAGTCTTTTTACAAGCAAAAATGAGAAATAGTGATTGACTGGTTAAAAAATAATTGGAATAATAATAATGAACAGGAAAAACAATGAAAAGATATTGAATGTTGAAGCGGGGATTTTAATGTCTCAGTATTGACTGACATGCATGGCATTCCCTTTTGAAAAAGCAATGTAATACACTGTAAAGTTATATGCAATTCAATGTAATATAAACAAGATTATGATGATAATAAATAAAAAATAAAAATAAATAGATTTAAGGTCCAATGAATCAGCCTCAAAAACTGAATAAAATAATTGACTTTATAAAAGAAGGATTCCTTACTTGGTTGCTGATATGGGTGGTATGTTTTTCTCCAATATGAATTTGCTCCCTTCGGACAGTCCATTTCCTGCCATTTCGCCAGTGCCAATTGCCACTACATCGATGTCAAGGGCACCAGTCAGGAGAAGGTGGAGAAGGACATTCAAAAAATAGCAGATAGATTCCAAGGGGCTGAAAGCACCGTTAACTTGAAGGTATGTTTCTATGAATATTTTTTTTCTTCTGATGCTTAGTAGTTCTCATACCTAATTTAATTTGGAAGTGTAGAATATGTGGATTCACAGGTCATTTCACAAACATTGCAGAGTCCCACTAAAAATGACAATGGCATTTCAATTTGTACTTGTTTCTCTACATGGAAACTTGAGATTTTAGAGCTTTTTTTCTTTTCTTTTCTTTTCTTTTCTTTTTTTTTTTTAAATTTTATTTCTTCCAGGAGAGAGAGCCAGAGAGCCAGGCACCTCCAACAGTGTCCTGCATGCAGTCTCAGCTGACTGGGGTCACAGGCACAAGTGCATGCCCAGCGTGCTCAGAGGGGGCCTGGCATGTGAACATAGGACCTTTCTCATGAGGGTCCAGCTGCATTTCTGTGGCACCTTCACCTGGTCACACAGTGCTGCAGCTTCTTTATGTCTTTGGGCTTGTCCTGTGATATGTAGACAGTCCTGTTCAACATAGGATAAGAACGAAATAGAAAACAGGAGTAGACGAGACAAAATGAAGGAAAAAACACCACCCCTGAAGGCATAGAAGGAAGTTAAAGGTTTGGGATCTCAACCATGGGCCTCCTCTATTCGTACAGAAGAGAGAGTTTACTCATTAGGAAATCCAGTAAGACTCCCAGAGAGCAATTCTCAAGCATATTTTTGTTTTGAAAGATTTGCATCTAGAGTTTCATGTGACATGCTTTGTTTGCATGTAGCAGAGATTAAAGGTTACTAATGTTATGAAATATAAATTTAAAAGATTTTTTAAACGACTACTAATGGGGGACCGGCAGATGGTTACATCGTTGGACTCATGTAGTGGACTGCAGTTCAAGTCCCAGACCCAGAGGCTTAAAATTCACACCAGGCACATGTGCATGCATGCCCAAAATCCCGAGAGGAAAATGGAAGCGAAGAGATTGCGGTGCGGCTATCCCCACTGGGATTGATTTCTCACTTTCTGTCTTTCTGTCTCTCTAGTGAGCTCATGCACCTTATAGCAAAAATCTCTCTAACAAAAAAAGACTACTAATGCTTCTCAATAAGGCGTGTGGAGACAAAATTTCATATTCTTTCCTAATTAATACATGTCATTTATAAATTATTTTTAATTAGTGCATATTCGATTATGCTAATCATCCATAGATAAGTTATCACTTAAGTCAAACGAATAAGCATATTCAATTTGTTTTGTTTCGTTGGTTTATTTTTTAATTTTTGCCAGAAGATGAGTGTGCTCGCTGGAGAGACGGGGGGTGGGGTGGGTGCGGGGGGAGGGCAGGGAATGAGAAAGCACCTACTATGCGGATTGGTCATGCTTCAGTCCTTCCTCCTCCATTCTCCTTTCGGGATTTTGGGGATGTACACAAGTGTGCCTGGCATGTTTTTCAAGCTGCTGAGTCCACGATTTGAATCATACCATCAGCCATGTGAGATCCAGCTGCTTTAACCACCATGCCACGGGCTGCCCCTGAGCTTACATTTTTTAAATTTGTGTTATCTAATAATAAATGTGTGGATGCATAGTCTGAACGTAATGAAAACCCCAGGCTATTCAGCATGTCGTATGTCATGCCTACTTAAAGCATGCCACCATGCCACTGGGAGTCATCTTCTAAAATATCCCCCCAGTTCTAGAATCTTGCTTCTCCCTTTAGGAACTATGAATGTGTCATATGTTTGAACATGCACTGATTTCACATTCACAGATCCTGAAAGTTCTTGTCCTTCTATTCCCTTTGGCTAGTGCTTACAATACCTTTAATAGCCAACATATTTTGTCAGTTGGAGCTTTGGTTTAACATCTTGAATTTTAAGGAAGGAAAAAAAAGTATGCACTATGTATGAGGTTTCAAAGGTTATGCTAAATGAATACCTCCAGTATTAAAGTTACTCTGTAGGTTGTACAAATAGTTTATCAGATTTACTTAGAATAACAATGCCAACCAGCTATCTAATTCTTTATAACATACAAAAATACTTTCATATCCTTTTTATTTTCTTCACCAAAACTTCATAGAGCAGTCAATATGTCTTCTACTGCTAATGTGAAAATGAGGCTGGCTTAATTTACATAAGTGACAGCACTAGATTTCAGTGTCAGTTCTAATTCTAAAATCATTATTTCCCAAGTACCTTATTGTTTACTCAAAGATAACCAAGAACAGGCCCTGCCGCTGTGGTGCAGTGGTAATGCAAGTGTCCTGAAAGGCTGGAGGGTTTATGGGAATAGTGGGTTGGCCCCAAAACACACCAGATATGTGTGTGGATGCCCAGGATTTCAAGTAACTAAAAAACTAGGGAAAGGAGATTTCAGCATTGTGAGACCCTGTTGAGGATGCGTCTCTCTCTTTCTCTTGCTTTCTTTATCTTGCATGTACACATGGTTTCCATCTTTAAATGTATATATATATTAAATTTAAAAGTAAACAAGAGAAGCCAACAGGTGGCTTGGTGGTTAAGGCATTGGACTCCCACAGACCAACCTCAGTTTGGGCCCTGACCTGGCGGCTTGAAAATCACACTGGGTGCATGTGCGTGAGTGCCCAAAATCCCAAGAGGAAAATGAAGGAGAAGGGATTGTGACATGGCTATTGCCTCCAGGAAATGATTTCTCACTTCCCTCTATCTCTTCCTGTTTCTCTCTGGCAAGCACACGTACCCTACAGGAAAACCTGGAAAAAAAAAAGTAAACAAAAAATAAGAACATCTATTAAGAGTAAAGAGAAAACCCTCAAGTAAACAAACCAGTAACTCATGACACCATTTTCACTGTTATGTTCCAAACAAGAGTAAAACACTCAAAATGGTTCAGGCAAGTCACATAAAGCCAAGCAGGAATATGGTAGTGAACTGTTTTCACTGTGTGACAAAACATCAGAATTTCCCATCCCTGTTTAACCATTTGTAGAGGCTGTTTCATCTTATGATGAATATGTGATTTGAAGTGTTCCATAAGCTCATTCTGTTTGTTATTATTTCTAGGATATTTGGAGGTTTCGAGCTCAACTGGTGAAAGGAGAAAGAGTCAACCTTTGAAATAGCCCTTTGATATAATTCTTTTAGAAGAAATCAAAATAAAACAAGCTAAGGAAAATGTCTTCTTAATGAAATGATGTCATCTTTTCTATCACTTGCTAACAAAATCAAAAAACATGTATTAGATACTTAATTGCATATTGTTGATTTTGTAGTGCAATAGCGTTGCTTTCATGGAAGTAAAACCAGTAAAAGTGGAATATAACTGTTTTAAGGAAAACTAATTTAAAGTTACAACTAATAAAGGTGATTAATGAATAATTTATGTGTGTTAAATCCATGTGTTTTGTTTTATTAGCTCTTTACTCAAGTAGAAACAAATATTTTGAAACTCAGGGTATGTTGAGTTAAAAAATTTTTAAAAATTCTTTTATTTAAATTTAAGGAAAACCTGGTGACTAGAGAGAGAGACAGTGAGAGAGAGAGAGAGGGAAAGTGAGAAAGCAAATCACCAGGTCCAGGATTCGAACTGCAGTCAGCCATGTGGGAGTCCAGCACCCTTAATCACTGTGCTGCCTGCTGACCCTGGGTATGTTGAGTTTTGTGTCCTTCTTCTGGTCAACCCTCTACCTTTCAATCCCCCATCATGAGAGCAAAATGAAAGCAGTTTTTCCCAGTTGAAGAAACATTCTCCTAAAAGGATCCAAAAGTGAATGCTTCTCCCAATGGCAAGAAGTAGAAGAGCCTCAGGTCTGAATAAACCAGGAAATATATCTCCATCAAAAGAACACATCCCTGGGACCAGCAGTTGGCGTAATGGCTATGTTGCTGGACTCCCACGTAGTCGACTGCGGTTCGCGTCCTGGACTCGGTGGCTTAAAACTCACGCCGGGTGCGTGTGCGTGTGTGCCCAAGATCCTGAGAGGAGAATGGAGGAGAAGGGATTGAGGCGTGGCCATCCCCCCTGGGGGGTGATTTCTCGTTTCTTTCTGTCTCTGTCTGTCTGGTGAGCGCACACACCCTATAGCAAAAACCTAAAGAAAAAACCCCCCAAAAAAAAAAAAAAAAAGAAAGAAAGAAAGAAAGAAAGAAAGAACACATCCCTGACACATTCATGGCTCCTGTGATCTAGCCATTTGGGGGAAAACAGAGAAATGAAAATTTCCCACTGATAATTCGGCCTCCAGCATACAAAACTCGTGTGGTAGGAAGACCTCTTTCAGGCCTCCTTTCTCTGTATCTGTCTTTATTTTTTAAGGTGAGGCATTTTTCTGGGCCTTCCGCCCCCTCCTATCCCTTTATCTTGTTAATAATTCCCTCTCCCCCTCTCAATCCAGGAGAGGTGGAAGGGAACAGAACAGGCCTTCTTGAAGAGACACCTTCATTGCTCCTGCAATGTAGCCATATCGCACGGTGGTTTTCTAATTTTTGGATTTTATTGAAATTTTTTGAATATTAATTTTTTTTAGTTTTATTTAAAAGTTTTTCTCTTTGTTTTTTTCTTCTCTTTTTCTCTGTTTCTTTTCTGTTTTTTTTTTTTTTCTGTTGTTTATATTGTTTCCTTCTCTCTGTTTCCTTTTCTGCACACTCCTTGACCCTCAGATTGAACTTCCAAGTTGGGAAGAAACTGACCATCCACCAGATGACCAGAAATCGCTGCAGGACCACAAGAAATATGAGGAAGCAGGAAAATACCTCTTCCACAAGGGTAACGGATAGGTCCTCTTTATCCACACACAATTCAAAGAAAATCTTTTTTGCTGTTGTTGGTATTGTTTCCCTCTCTCTGCTTCTTTTTCTGCACACTCCTCGACCCTCTGATTGAACTTCCAAGTTTGGGAAGAAACCGACCATCCACCAGATGACTAGAAATCGCTGCAGGACCACAAGAAATATGGGGAAGCAGGAAAATACCTCTCCCACAAGGGAAAAGGATAGCTCCTCTTTATCCACACACAGTTCAATGGAAATCATGGAAATGTCTGATAAAGAATTCAGAACATTCATAATGGCAAAGCTAACAGAGATGGAAGAGAAGAGAGACAAGGAACTGCTGAAGAGGAAGGAGAAAGGAGTTGAAGAGTTCCAGGAGGTGAGGAAATTCATGCTAGATCTAAAAGAGGAATTTCACACTTTACAAAAGAATCAGATGGAACTGTTAGAGATGAAGGCTATAATACAAGAAGTCAAAATCTCCCTTGAAAGTATTAAAAGCAGACTAGATCATACAGAAAATAGAATTTCTAATGTAGAAGAGAAAATGGTTGGCCTAGAAAAATCCACCGCGAAGACTGAGAAAATGGCCCAAAAATTTGAGAATAATATGCGAGAAGTACTAGATACCATCAAACGTCCAAACATCCGGATAATAGGCATCCCAGAAGGTGAAGAGACTCATAAGGGCATTGATAATCTATTCCATGAAATCTTACAAGAAAATTTTCCAAACCTGGAGAGGCACTCAAAGATTCAGTCCCAAGAAATACAGAGGACCCCAAATAGAATCAACCCAAGAAGATCTTCTCCAAGACACATTATAGCCAGATTGACCAAAACCACAGACAAAGACAAGATACTAAGACTGGCAAGAGAAAAAAGGCAAGTTACCTACAAAGGGTATCCCATCAGACTAACGGCAGACCTCTCATCGGAAACAATGAGAGCGAGGAGAGAATGGGAAAATGTATTCAAAGTATTAAGGGAAAAGCAATTTCAACCGAGAATTCTGTACCCAGCAAGATTATTGTTCATTTGGGAAGAAAAGACACGAACATTCCCAGGTAAACAAAACCTGAAAGAATTTACCAGCACCAGACCAGGTCTCCAAGAAGTTCTTAAGGGAGTGCTATGTCAATAAAATTAAATGCAGACACACAGAAATAAGAGTTCAAAAACTAAGAAAATGGGCAATTTAATTGTAGGGACAAAGTCTGGAGTTGAGTATTATATCCCATAGTTCAATCTGGAAGATCGTACCTCAACAGAAGAAAGATTAAGTACATGAGACTGAACTCATGAAACAGCATTCTGTGACTTGACTAAAATATTGCTGCTTTTCTTCTAAGCGTTGTTGTCCAGTTTTAAGGATTTTTGTCCTGTCTTGAGCTGTCAATAGATTCATGTACCTACTATTTGAACAGAATACTAACCTGTTTCTAGGCTTTAAGTTTCAAGGAAATATCCTTACCAGTTCAAAACTGCTTTTCTTGAAATCACCAGCTGAACTTGCTATTGAAAGTAGTTAGATTACTTATGATATTGTGTGATCAACAAAATTTGGGGGGAAAAGTAATTGAAGACAACTGTAGACAGCAGAGATAGTGTAATAAGAGAGTAGGAAAGAGCAGAAGGTCAGACATGGGGTAAGAAACATATATATATATGAAAGTAGAAATGGAATATTATTGATGATAACATGCATGATTAGGTCACCATGCAGTTTATTCTAGATGGGAAACCACATTTAGTATGTTGTGATGATGCTCAGGGAATGAATGTAAATTAATAAAAACAAATTTCAGGAGAAAAAAAGAAAAAAAGAATATGTGTGCTAGAGTCAGAATAAACAAATCTAAATCTTGAAAAAAAATGCATTTCTTAATCCAACACTTTTTTCTTAACCTTTCATTTGAAACCTCTCATCTTCTTTAGAAATCCCATTTGCTTATTCCCTCACTCAAATAATCTTCTTATTTTTTTTCCACCAAGATTGAATTATAACCCTATAAAAACGTTCTGATAAATGCCTGTAAGAAGACAAAGCATAGAGAAGTTCAACATGTACATGAAATGATGGGACAGACCAACTAACGAGAGTCTATTCCTCAATGTATTTTTGAGCAGAAATAAATTGTGCTACTTCTAATGTTACAGTACCACATACTGTGCAGAACCACGGAGGTCAGGAAGATGCAGTGGTCATCATGAAAAAGCATTTATTATGCAGGGGTCAATTCCCTCATGTTGTGTCTGGAAGATGTGCTTGGCAGTATGGGACTAGTGGGAATATGAGTTTTAAGTTCTTTTTCTGTAACCTTAAAATGAATCAGAAGTTGAATGTGATGGTCTCACATAGCAGAGCCGTTTTAATTCTTATAGCAAATCAATTGAAGACTGATTCTTTTTAATTAATGGATATATATGTCAAACCAGCCAATAAAAGCAACAATGCTAAAACAAACAAACAAACAAACAAAAATGTCCCTACATCTCTCAAAAAAACAGAGGAAATGACCAAAATGTCAGAGAAAGAATTTAGAACATTCATGGTATAGGGACCAGCAGTTAAGCATAATGGCTATGTTGCTGAACTCCCATGTAGTCGACCATGGTTAAAGTCCCGGACCCGGTGGCTTAAATTCACACTGGGCGCGTGTGCGTGTGTGCCCAAGATCCCAAGAGGAGAATGGAAGAGAAGGGATTTTGGCATGGCCATCCCCCCTGGGGGGTGATTTCTTGTTTTCTGTCTCTCTGTCTGTCTGTCTGGCGAGCACATGCTCCCTCTAGCAAAAAACCTCTCAAAAAAAAAAAAAAAAAAAAAAAAAAAAAAAGAACATTCATGGTATAAAACTCTATGAACTGGAACAGAAAAACTCTATGAACTGGAACAGAAAAGAGACAATGAACTACAGGAAATTGGGAAGTCCTTCCACAATATGAAAGAAGAAATGAACACTCTAAGAAAGAACCAGATTAGAGATGAAGTCTGTAATAATACAAGAAATCAAAAACTCTCTCAAAAATATTAAAAGTCGATTACGGGGAACCAGCAGTTAGCGTAATGGCTATGTTGCTGGACTCCCACGTAGTCGACCACGGTTCACGTCCCGGACCCGGTGGCTTAAAACACACGCCGGGCGTGTGTGCGTGCGTGCCCAAGATCCCGAGAGGAGAATGGAGGAGAAGGGATTGTGGCGTGGCCATCCCCCTGGGGGGTGATTTCTCGCTTTCTGTCTCTCTGTCTCTCTCTGTCTGTCTGGCGAGCGCACATGCCCTCTAGAGAAAAACCTCTCAAAAAAAAAAAAGAAAAAAAAAAATGTCGATTACGGACCAGCAGTTAGCGTAATGGCTATGTTGCTGGACTCCCACGTAGTCGACCACGGTTCACGTCCCGGACCCGGTGGCTTAAAACACACGCCGGGCGTGTGTGCGTGCGTGCCCAAGATCCCGAGAGGAGAATGGAGGAGAAGGGATTGTGGCGTGGCCATCCCCCTGGGGGGTGATTTCTCGCTTTCTGTCTCTCTGTCTCTCTCTGTCTGTCTGGCGAGTACATGCACTCTATAGCAAAATCCTCTTTAAAAAAAAAGTTGATTAGACCATGCTG